GCCCGCTGCAAAGCCAGACTTTTAGATTCAAAGCCAAGGGGATGGGATAATTCTGCGTATCTGGGAAGAATTTGGTGCCCCTGGGATGGCCCCTACAAGGACTGCTCACCATCACCACCATCCAAAAGTGGTAGGAAATACACTTCTGGATCTGAAACAGATCTCTTTTCCAGGATTAAAAGAGTGCAATGGGGGACAGTGCATGATCTGGGGGAATCTGAGGACCACAAAGCAGTCCAGGGCCACACATGCGTCCCCAGGGCCACACATTTCTGGGCACCTCAGAGAATTCAAGTTGCTTGACGTGACTGGCTATGCTAAGGGATGGATTCTGGGGGGTATGGAAAAAAATGTTTCCAAACTCTAATCATGGCTCTCCTCAATGTGCCATGTATGTGGCTATGCAATTCAGCAAACCCTTCACACACTGAATGTGCTGTGCCCGTCTTTAGATCCTTTTCTTGTTTGCAACGAGAGTGATTTTAGTCTTGGGCAGTGGGGCTTAACCAGAACTGTATGCAACTGTTGGCTTGTGTTAATAATAATAGTTATTATTATTATTATTATTATTATTATTATTTGTATTCCTCCCTTTGGGAAACCCAATCTTGGCAGCTCACAACAGTAAAATCATGCATAGTTTAGTTTAGTTGCCCAGTCTTTCTCTTGTGACCCAAATGTCGACTGTGGCTCTCTGGCTTCATCTTTGCAAATCAAAAAGTAACTTTGGCTGAACCCTAAAGGATTTCCCCGTCGTTCCACCCCTCCAGATCTTCTCCAGTGCATGAACCAGGAGGTTTTAGTCCCTTTTCCCTCCCCTCTATCATGGATTTCTGAGCCATCCCAGGTGTCAAAGCAGCATCTGTAGCCCAAGCCAGACTGAAAAGGAGGTCACTCTCTGCTGTGCCTCCCTTCCTCCTCTCTCCCTCCTTCTGGCCTGAAACAAAAGCAAAGTTTACTCAGCTGCCGGATGACAGCAAGTTCCTTTCAAAGGAGCTGAAGGCACATCCCAAGAACTCCCTTCCAACTCAGATACAATCTTCGGTGGGATTTGGGGACTGCATCTCAAGGTCCTTAATTGCTTGTTAGTCCCAATGAGAGAAGATTGGAATTCTAAAGTTCCCATTGATTTAATGTTGTTGTTGTTGTGTGCCTTCAAGTCCTTTCTGACTTATGGTGACCCTAAGGCAAACCTATCCTCATGAGATTTTCAACTGTATAAACCCACTTGGACAGGTTACATTCTCTCAGCCTCAGAGGATGGCAGTGGCAATTCTCCTCTGAAGAAACTTGCAAAGAAAATGCTGTAATAGGTTTGCATTAAAGCAATGATGGTGAATCTTTTAGAGACCAAGTGCCCAAACTGCAACCCAAAACCCACTTGTTTATCGCAAAGTGCCATGTCCCTTTGGCTTTCTAGTAACAAATTCTGTGCTGGGGCGATGGCGCATGTGCCCACAGAGAGGGCTCTGAGTGCCCCCTTTGGCACACGTGCCATAGGTTCGCCACCACTGCCTAAGGGTCACCATAAGTCGAAAATGATTTGAAAGCACACGACAACAACAGTTAATCGCAAAAGATGCTACAATATCCCTCAGTAGAAGACAGCAGAGTCACAGCAGAACAGTTTCCCTTCGGAAGAAATTTCTTCATACAGTGGACTGTGAGGAAAGAGACATTGGCACACAGTCAGTGCTACAACACTATAATTCTTTGGAGGATTCTGGTCTGCAGATGCCTATAAATCCCTTTGCAAATTAGCCACTTTTGGAGGAAGGGACCTTTCCTGGTGCCTCAAGCCCTTGGGAGAGAATCCAGCTGCGAAAGAAAAGACATAGCGTCAAGGGTGTGCATGCATGCGCGTCTATCTGTGTCACCGTATTGTGCAAAATCCTTGAGAGAGGACACCCCGCTGGGCCTTAATGATCCAAAGTCTGCCTAAATAATGGGACATTGTGGTTGTTTCTTCGCTGCACTGGAGCATCTTGAAATTTGTGATCTGAGAAAGAGAGAGTTAGAGAGAGCCCAGCAGCATCATCTGCTCCTTTATCACAAGACGGAAAAGTAGTGGCCAAGTTCCCAGCTGGAAGCAAAAACTAGACACTGTTGTTAGCTTAAGCAGCGTAAAGAGCAGACGGTTCCTTGTGTGCTGGGGATGGGGATAAGGAGATAGTTGAAGTATTTGTCTGCATGCCCAGGTCTGGAAAAGAAGTGGCGCATGAGCAAGCATGGATTTCTTTATTTCACTCTTAGCCATTTTAGTTAGGAGGAGGAAAAAAGAGGGATACACTTTAGACGTATGAACCTGTCCATGGTGTGGAGAGAATGAGTAGAGGGAGAGACCCACATGTCTCTTCTTCTCTCCCTTATTTGTTTATTTATTTATTGGATTTATAGCCCACCTTTCTCTCCAAAGAGGGTTCAAGATGACTTGAATCCCTCTCTCAGCAGTGGCTAGGAGCTGTGATGTCCATGGGAGACGGTGAATCTGTTCTGGGTTTGGGTCCAAACTTTAAAAGACCTGTCCAAGATGGCTGAACCTATTATGTAGTCAGGAGTGCCTCTTTGGTGCATCTTGGTCCAGACATTTAATATATTTGCACTGTTGTTGTTGTTGCCTTCCAGTCATTTCTGACTTATGGCAAACCTATCATAGGGTTTTCTTGGCAAGTTTCTCCAGAGGGGGTTTGCCATGGCCATCCTCTGAGGTGGGGAGAGTGTGACTTGCCCAGGGTCACGCCAGTGGGTTTACATAGCTGATCTGGGACTCGAACCCTGGTCTCCAGAGTCTTAGTCCAACGTTGAAACCACTGCACAAGAAGATACGGTCCTTCAGATAGCCTGGACAGGAGATGCATGAGGTTTTATAGGTCACAACCAGCCCTTTGAATGGTTCCTGGAAACAGACCGGCAGCCGGTAACAACCCATTTAGCAGCCGAAATTAAGGGGTCTTTGGTGGCAAAGCCAAGGGCCAGGTTGCAACCTTAGTTTGATCCTCTGATCCTTTGGATTCTGCAGCCTTCGGCCAAGGAATGCTAAGCTGGCTGACCGAGTCTGCGCTTGCTTTGGTGTGTCATCGCATTTGTTCGTTTATCATCTTGAGGCCAAAACATCTGGTTTTGGCCACATCCAGTAACAGGAAGCTGGATAAATTTTTGGGAGGGAGGGAATGGAGCATCAGGAGGAATCTTGAGGACAGTTTTGGCCAAGCCCCGTGTTTACATCTCCTCTTCCACTGATTTTTATCGAAGGCCTCTTCTTTCAGGGAGGCACTTCGTGGATCTTGGCAATTGTTCATTCAGGAAACTGCAAGTCACTGAGCGCTCCCAAGCACATACCCTTCGACCGTCCCAGTTTGGCAGAGACGGGCCTGATAAATCCTCTGTTGTCCCATTTTTGCAGCTGCTTTAAAAATATACCAGTTTCCCCATCCTCTTCCCACTTCCTTCTTTGCTCTCAGCTTTGATTTCTAGCAACTGAGGCTCCATCTGCACTACAGAAATAATCCAGTTTGACATCACTTTAACTGCCATGGCTCCATGCTATGAAATTCAGGGGTTTCCAGAGCTCTCTGACAGAGAAGGCTAAATCTCTCACAGAACTACAATTCCCAGAATACCATACCATTAAGCCTTAAGATCGCCATACCTTAGAAGCAACTTGAAGGCACACAACAATGATCATCTGTCTGTCTATGTATGATTACACCTCTGGGTGACTTGCAGGAAATTAGCAAAAGTGTCTGGATTCCAGCTGTTAAGCAATAGTTAATATATGTCTTTCTGAGTGCTCTCTACACACATTGTTATAAGGCAGAAATACAACATAGAGAAACTGGAAGCTATTTTCCCTCACTTCCAATTGTTGCGTGTGTGTGTGGAGAGCATACAATCCAACATTTCACAGAAGAAAACTGAGAGTGAGCAGCATCAGAGTGTGGCTAAGATGGCAGAAGTGATTCATGAGGAAAGACACAGGAGCTAGGAGAGGCTGCAGCAGTGTGCTTTTGCCCGAGCCCACTGGGAAGGGAAAGTTTCTGCCTCCTATTCCTCCTCTTTCTCCGCTGCTGCATTAATTGGGTGCAAACTACTTGTTCACCTTGAAATTAGTCTGCAGCAATTGAAATGCGCTGAGGACAAAGGGGGAGGAGGGCAGAGAAACCTGGACATTTTCAAAGCAGGGGGAAAAGTGGGGTTATAGAGGATCACTTGAGACAGCTGGAGGATATAAGGCAGAGTCTTATTTTGCTATCATCAAGTTACCACTTTCATGCCTTCTCGGTGCCAACATCAGACTAGCACATGGATTTTTCTGTATCTGTACTGTTTCCAGAAAGGGAGGAAGCGTAGAGAGGCCTGTTTCCCCCATGGGCAAAATGCAAGTCAAAAACCCCATATGGGCAGCTCTGACTGAGAGCCTGTCTCTGCGAAGAAGCAGCGTCTGCTTCCATGCGCACCGTCCCTAAAAAGCAGGCCACGGCTCGGAAAAAATGGCTCGGGCTAAAAGGCCGCATTGTGGAGGCCGGAGAGAAGAAGCGCATCTATTTATAACCCCCTCGGAGAAGCCTCTGAAAGTCGGGATTGTTTCCCCCTTCAAGTGGGTCAGACAGTCTACAAAAGTAACCGCTTGAGGTTAGCCACACCAAGGCAGCCTCTTTCTCGAAAGGAGGTGGCATGGGGGCCCCTGAGCATGAGAGAAAGGCCGGGGAAGGGAGCCGAGAACGAGGTTAAGACAATATTTGTCTGCCGGATTCTGAACTCATCGTCCAGGCAGCTTATGGGTGCATAGTTTGGAGAAAGAATGAAGATTCAAGGATGCCATATCGGTCTCTCCTCGGTTCCTCTTTGGCTCTTGGATGTGGGAAAGATGCATGGAAGGGATGCTCTGCGATGCCACATCCCTCGGAAAGGATCCCCTTCCAAAGAGATTTCCATGGCAGGGAATGCAAAACCCTTGCCTCCTTTCCCCTTCTCCCCTCCTCTCTCAAAGTAATCTTTCAGCAGAAACCTGTTGCCTTGAGAACATAATGTTTCTTGCAAATGCTTACCTTGGATATACAGAGGTGCCTAGCTCATCCAGATGGCTAGAAGCGGTGAGAGTAAACCCCAAGTTTGGGAAAGTGCCTTTTTTTGGACTCATGCTGCCAACATGGCCCCGGTTGGCAAGGCTATTGGCATGCATATCCATATATACCCAGTGGAAATCTGTGCGATTAAATCCAGAATTTGAGAATTTTTTTTTTGGAGTGCATGGCCATGCTAGCATACAAATGTATGTGTACTGAACCCTATCTTTGTATTAAACATTTTCCCTCCCCAATATTTGACAAAGAACATATTCAACAAAGAAGCAACCAAACAAATCTCAAACACTGTATCATTTATTATTTTATTAGTATTTATCTAAAATGTTTAAAAGTGTTTTTTTTCCCCCAGATGGGCCTTCCTAAGGTAAAGTATATCAGAATTTATATCAGAACAACAATATAGACATAGATAGATAGAAAGATAGATAGATAGAGTGGGCACCTTGGAGCTACAAGCCAATTTCTCCCTCTCTGTGGGCTGCCTACTCTATTTTTGTTGGCGTCCTTCTCAAAATGGCGGCTGGAAGTGGCATTGTGTCACTCCCTGTCACCATTTTGAGAAGGACCCTCATAAAAACAGAGAAATTTGGGGGTTGCCAGAGGGCATTTTGTGTGGTCTGGCCTTTGCATACTTATGGGGCTTTCTGCTGAAATTTTGGGGTGAAAAACACCCGGAAAATCACACTGAGAAATATTAATTTTGCAGGGATTTTGGGGAGGGGGGCATTGGAAGAGTGAGCTCCAGGGCACATACAGCCCATGGACTTTGGTCACTCCTGCAATATGGCCCTATAGGTGCATCTGCACTAGAAACAATGGAGTCTGACATCACTTTAAGTGATGTCGCTCCATCCTATGGAATCCTGGGATTTGTAGATCATGGTCTTCAACCTTCTCTGCCAAAGAGTGCCGGTGCTTCACCCAACTACAAATCCCAGGATTCTGTAGGATGGAGTTACAGTACTTAAAGTGGTGTCAAACTGCATCATTTCTACAGCATTGATGCACTAAAGTGATAAAGTCCTAGTCTTATCGTAAGTCTAGGGAAATATGGCAATCTTTAGGGCCCTAATAATGGGTCCTGATGGAACTCAATTGAGACACAATTCAGCAAGCAAGAGGCCACTACGCAGAAGGCTCTGTTTCTCATGTCTATTGCCAACTTAAAAAATTAAAATTCAATACCAAGTTTATCCTCAGCTCCCCGCTGGCAATATTGGAGAATCGGTCCAAGGCTCTTCTAGCTATACTGCTTTCCCCAGAAAAGCCAGCATATAAATAGCCTTGTTCCAATTGCTGCAGTATTTCTTTATATAAACAGCAAAAGCTTTTGGGAGCTGGCAGGGAGCAAAGCTTCTGTTTTCTGCCAGGCAGAAACAGCTCATAGTTCATAGCTAACCTTTTGCATGAGCCGCTTTGAATTCCAATTTTTTGGGGGAAAGTGGGATGCAAATAAATATAATAATAACTCCTGCTGCCCCTTTGGATTAGATTCAAGTTCTGCATCCATAGTGGTGCTTTGCAATTTCATTGTTCCCATCCATACCTGCCTCAAAAGCAGAGGCTTTGAGTTGGGGATGACTTAAAGTCTTTTAAAGTCTCATATTACAGATCATAGCAAAAGCATTGAATGGTATTATTTTCTTGGCTACAGTTGCCTTGGATCTCCAGAAGATGTTCGTGGACTCAAACAACCAGCATGGCCAATGTTTAGGAATCCCAGGACTTCTAGTTTTGACAGCATCTGGCACAGTAGTTAAACTGACTTATCAATAATGTAGTCATTTGTCACTAGGACTGCATCTGCACTGCAGAAATAATGCAATTTGACACCACTTTAATTGCCATGGTTCACGGCTATGGAACCCTGAGATTTGTAGTTTATTGTGGCACAAAGTCTAAATATCTCACAATACTACAAATCCCAGAATTTCACAGCATGGAGCCGTGGTAGTTAAAGCAGTGTCAACCTGCATTAATTCTGCAGTGTGGGTGCAACCTGGACTTAGAGAATTGGGATTTAGAATAACCAACTTTTCCCTGTTCTTCTTCTTATATTCTCTAGATTCGTAGAACAACTCAGAAGATCTGTTAAAGGGAGTGTTTGCTTTCATCCGATTTCGACAGAGGACAGAATGGCTAGAAATCCCACTCTGGCTTGGACTCTCATACTGTTTTTCATCCAGGGAATCCATTCCTTTTTGTTGCCCAATGCCACCCTTTTGGAAAACATCCTCAACAGATACCGGGATGAGCAGCCTCACTCCAGGACCAGGAGAGCGATTTCCCTATCGGACAAAGAAGAGATCTTGGCCCTTCATAACAAGCTGAGAGGCCAAGTCTACCCATCAGCATCTAATATGGAATACATGGTGAGTCCGAAATACTAAGATAAGTCTTTGGCTCAGCCTTTGACTTGTTCCTCCACTCCCATTGTGTTGTATTATACCACATTTGCAATATGTCCCTGCAATTTTAGTTTTCCAACTTTGGTCTGTCTGTGCATTTTTAAAAACCAGATTAGACCACATACTGAAACGCCTTGTATCCAGATATCTATTATTAACTAACTGTATTATCATTCACTTCATTTGCTTTCCACTTTTCCACAAAATTGGGTCTCAAGACGGCTCATGAATTAAGATACAATGGAGCTGAAACATACAAAAGATCAATGTTAAAATGGAGCTGAACTAGCAACGACAACAATGTAAAATTCAATCAGAATGATACAGAG